TTTTTACCCAGCTGGGTGAAAATCCAGGTGGGACTTCCAGGCCATGCACTTTTGCACACAATACTCTGTTGCCTCACTCAAGGAGCTTGCGGCAACCCTCTCCCCACCAAAAAACTCAAACTGTTGCAGGGGTGTAGACTGACACATTAGGACTCTCCAGGGCAGAGGTGTTTTCCTGCTAAGCTGCTGGGTGGGTTCGAATCCCTGACACTTCAGCGGAGCTAACCACTGCGGGCCCTGAAGAAGCCCAAAAGGGAAACCATTCATAGCAAGGCCGCCGGTGCCAAGCAAAGCAACCTGCACTCAGCGAACACTCTGTACACACTTGCTAACTGAACCAGTGCCTTTCCTATAGGAAGTAGGTGGTGGCAGAAAAAAACTTGTCCTAAGTATTGATACTGATTACACCGTAGCTTTGAGTTACATGAAAACAGTGGAACCAAAAATTAGCTCCTTGCAGCGAGAAGGGGAAAGTGGCCCACGAATGGGGGATATTCACATTTTGGAGAGTCACGCCGAGTTACTCTTGTCTCTCGCCCTTCCTCCCACAACACAGAAACCTCTTCCAGCAAAACCGGAAGACCTCTCCTTCCCAACCAAGCCTCCATCCAAGCTTTGTTCCAGCCTTTTAACCTCCCGCCACTTCTAGGCCCCTCCGAGCGGCTCAACGCCTGCCTTCAACGCCCGCCCTCAACGTCCAGCGCCCAACGTCTCGCCCCCAACGACCAAAGACTCTCAGCCCTCACCCAGCTCCTCAATCCCCCATGCGCTTTGGGATTCTGACCTGGAAAGCCTGGAAAGGGCAGTTCACCTCCACCGGGCTTTGAAGTCTGGCGGTGGTTGCGCCTGCCCGGTGCCTGCAAGCCCGTTACGTAGGCTCGCCCACAGCACTCCGCTCACCTCCAATGCCGGACTTCCCTGCCCTGGGCCCCAGACGCATGCGCAGCGCGCTGCCACGTGCGCTCCGGAAGCCCACGTGCGCCCTTCTCGCGCCTAAGAAACTTCCCAGCCAAGTGTCCTTCACCGTTGGTGCCCTAGGGGTGCAACAGTTGGACTCAGCAAGTTCCTCTGCGGAAACTTAATGCAGTTCTCCTTTCGGCTCCTTCTAGAAAGGTGTTCTGGAAAAATTCCGTGAGCAAATTTTGAGCGCAAAGATGAAGACTTAGGTCACATGAACCACTTTTGAGGTTTCCAAATTAATCCATTACCTCTGCTTGGCCTTGGAGGCTAAACACACGTGATACTTTTTTTTTTTTTTTTTTTTTTAATCTTAGGACACATGATTATTTCTGTTGTTACTCAAAAAGATATTTTTAAGCTTTTATTCTCAATCTTTTCAAACATATTCAGAGCAATGGCATAATGTACCATGTACCCATCACTTGGTTTCTGCATTGTCAATTCATGGTCAATCTTGCCTACACCACCTGCACCTTGAACACTTTCTCCATCCCACCCCCCAACTGAAGCAAATCCCAGACTTTTTTTTTTTTTAAGAGATTTTATTTTTGAGAACTCTTTTAGATTTACAGAAAAACTGAGAAGATGGCACAGCATTCCCATATCAATTAGACCCCGTTTTCTCCATTAAGATGTTACATTGGTATGATACATACAATTAGTGAGCCAATATTAACTAAAGTCCAGAGTTTATTTAGATTCTTTCAGTTTTCACCTAATGTCCTTTTTCTGTTTCAGGACCCCAAACGGAATACATTACATTTAGTTGTCTGTCTCTTCTGGCTCCTCTTGTCTGTGGTTGTGTTTCAGACTTTTCTTGTTTTTGGTGACTGTTTGGGGCAGTACTGGTCAGGCATTTTGTAGAATGTGCCACTGTTGGAATTTGCCTTAAGTTTTTCTTATGATAAGACTGAAGTAATGGGTTAACTGTGGTCTTCCTCCCAGTAACCCACAAGCCCAGCCTTCAAATGAGGAATACATGAGACAAAACCACAGAGGTAGTATCGTTTTCATCACATGGTATTAAGCACACATTCTATGAACATGATTTAGGACTTGGTTTTAGCCTTGATCACCTGGCTGAAGTAGTGTCTCTCAGGTTTGTCACACAATTACTTTTTCTCTCTCCCATACTGTATACTTCGGAAGGAACATTATGTACAGCCCATACATAAGGACAGTGTCAGATTACTCCATAAGCAAGGTAAGCGTGTGTTTACTTATTAATCTCTAGTGAACTAGTGAACAATTTCATTTTTTCATCACATCAAAGATTCTGCTTCTAGGTATGGTTGGCATCTGTGTCTCCCAACCCCACAGCACCTTCCTACAGAAACAAAGCCTCTTCAAATTTACAATCCCTGGCAGACATGAAATACCAGTAAACAAGGTAAGCATGGTTTACTTGTGCTTACTAATTTGTAGTGAACAGTTTCACATATGCTGAAAAGCATGTGCAACTGTTCACTACAGATTAGGAACTAAGCACAAGTCAACCCATGCTTACCTTGCTTATTGGGTAATCCTCCCTTATGTAAGGGGTGGGGACTTATGATCCCTCTCCTTGAGGGCTGAGTATTTACATAAAGGATTTCAAATTCTTCTGCAGAGGAATCTTGTCTCTCCTCCAGGTTTATTAATTTATTCAATCATTTATATCAGTATGGGGTCATGGATAGTTATTTTCTGCTTTGGATTATAATGAACTACTACTTATTTTGTTGCCCAAACTGTTCCAATTTTGGCCATTGGAAGCTCTTTTATTTGGCTCTAAAAAACTGCATTATAAGTCAATACTGATGTTTCTAAATTCAAACTTAGGATGGCAGGGTTTCTACTTCATTTCTTTTGTATTTTTTTCTTTTATGCTGAAAATCTTGGTTCCCAAGCACATCATTATTCTTATGCTTTATACTAATATGATGTATGTGTATGTGTTATATACATACACACACACACATGCATGTGTGTGTGTGGTCCAGTTGTGAGGATTTTTGTTTTGAGGTGTAACCCATTCGAAGGCTGTAGTCTCTGATCTTCATCAGTAAGTGCTTCAAGTCCTCTTTACTGTCAGCAAGCAATAAACAACATCATGATAAATGAAGAAAATATGGACGTTGTCAAAGATTTCATGTCACTTGGATCCACAATCAATGCCCATAGAAGCTGCAGTCAGAAAATCAAACAACATATTGCATTGGGCAAATCTGCTGCAAAAGACTCCTTTAAAGTGTTAAAAAGCCAAGATGTCATCTTGAGGACTGAGGTGTGCCACTGCTTCATATGCAAGTGAGAGCTGGATAATGAATAAGAAAGACCAAAGAAGAGTTGATGCACTTGAATTATGGTGCTGGTTAAAAAAAAAAAAAAGTTGACTATACCATGAAGAATGAAGAAATCTTATCTTGAAAGAAGTACAGCCACAATACTCCTTAGAAGCAAGGATGGTGACACTTTGTTTCACATACTGTGGACCTGCAGTCAGGAAGGAACAATCCCTGGAGAAGGACACCACGCTTGGTAAAGTAGAGGGTCAGTGACAAAGAGGAAGAGCCTCAAGATGGTTGACACAGTGGCTGCAACAATGTGCTCACACACAGCAACGATTGTGAGGATGGCAAAGGACTGGGCAGTGTTTTGTTCCATTGTACATGGTAAGGTCCCAGTGCCTTAGAAGCAACTTGACAGCACCTGACACCACCACCAGCAACACACACACATATGTGTGCACACATGTATTAGTTTCAGAATAACTATACCAATGTTATCCCTAACAGTATAATTACTGAAAACAGCTTAGGGACTATTGGACTTTTTTTTTTTCTTCCCTTTTAGAATAATGTTTCTAAATAGGATGCTTGGCCAAATGATTGTTTTAAAGTCAGGTCATTTATTTACTGTCACAGACACTTTGCTTGCTAAATGTGTTTTAAACGCAGTACCTTCGTTCTTGGAGGGAGGTGCCATTTCCTGTTGAAAGGGAAAGAGGAACACTCGTATTTTTTAAACTGATTTTTTTTTTTTTTTGCCAGTAGTTAGTAGAAAGAAATAGAATTGCAGAAGTTTTGCTCTGTAAACTCTTGCATTGAAGAACCTCCGAATTAACTGTTTTCGCTCAGAATTCCTAAACAAAAGAACCCCATTTCGCTGGACAGGAAAGTCTGTGGGCAAAACCTCCACAGACTGGAACTGCTTACCTGACTTCTCCAGACCCGGTTAGGCAACTATATTCAACACACTTGTTGTTGCTAATTATTGAGCATTTCTTGCCGTGTCAAACCCTATGATGCGTGCTGGGATACTCAGGCGGGAGAGGGCACTCCCTGCCTCTAAGGAGCTCACAGTCCGGAGCCCGAGACAAACACACCTACGGTTCATTATTAAACAATGGGAGTAGATGCCACGCTGTAGACACGAACTCGGTGTTAGGGAAACCCCGAGAGATCTCTCCTAGGGATGAGTTCAAACCCCCAGGTAAACTGCTCCTGCTGACTCCGCCCACATCTGGTGCCAGGTTTGCGCCTAAGAGCTGGAAGTCACAATTTCGAATTCTCTTTCATGCGATGTAAGGTCAATACGATGTAGGGTCGAGGGACGAAGAGGAATAATACTGAATGACCGCTCCTACAGGAAAAGAAAAATAACGACATGAGTGAGGCATGGGCATGAGGGTCAGGCAAGGGCTAAGGGCACAAGAATCAGCTCACCTGCTGCAGAAGACCGGCGCCCAGGGAGCCCAAGCCCACACTGAGAGCTCCTGGAGCCGCGAGGCCTGAGGCGGGGCTGTGCCGGCCACGCCCTCTGCAGACAGGTTACCCTGGGGCTCAAGGTGCACTCGCGTCACGCCGCCCGCGCGAGATGATTGGCTCTTCTCGGGAACCCCGCCCTCTCAGCTGTAACAGGGCCGGCTTTAGTGTCGCCGCCATCTTTGTTGATGTGTCAGCTCCGCAGGGGTCTGGGGATCCCGTAGAGGAGTAAGTGGGGTCTCTGGCTCTGTACCCCACGTTTGACCTCTTTCACACTCACAGTCTGCCGGACTCCGCTATGAAGAAGTTAGTCCCGGAGCCAGAGCTCCAGTAACCTTGTTAGGGTGCGGCTTGAGGCTGGAAGAAGTGGGGTGAGTGCTGGAGGGGCGCCCGGGGCGGACTGGGGAGTCGCAGTCGCGGCGAGGCTGCCGCGCTGTCCTGCAGGTCCCGCGGCGGGGGCGAGCCGCCTTCCCGCCTGGCTTCTCTCGGAGTGGGGTGGGGAAGGCGAGCCTGAGGCATCGACGTTCGGAGCCCCTTCCTGTCCTTGCCTCCCTGTCTGGGGTCCCGGACCACAGGGGGGGGGGGGGGGCGGCGAGGAACGCGACGCGGGGGTGGGGGCAGGGAGGGTTAGGGCTGCGCCTCCAGCGCGGCCGAGTTGGGGCGGATAGCCGGGTCTGCACGTGGGAACTGCAGCCAAGCCCCACCTGCTCCGGTGTTTTTCATCCACTTGGTCGTCTGTTTCTCATTTCGGCTGCAAGTTGACTGTGTGTGAGTTATATTTACTGTTATAGCGACTTTTCACCCTCTTCCAAACGCGTCCGCTGCTGTGACTTTAAGTTACTTCGGTACGATTCTTTGGGTTTGTGAATTGACTAATTATACTACTGTTCATTGTGTTTCTGTTGCCTTTCTTCAGCGTGCCTTGGTTGGTAAGGCAGGTAATTAAGATGTTTCCAATTTGTGCCTTCATCAGATGTGTAAACGGTAAAGCCTCTTCCACAAGCCCCAAAGTAGCAGTCCTGGGGAACAGTGCAGGTGTAGTTATCTTTTGGCTGTTCACAATTGAGTAACTTCCGCTGACACTTTAATTTTGATTTTTGTTTTGAGGAACCAAAGACTAAGCCAAACCCACTGCCATCTAGTTGATTCCGACTCATAAGCACAGAATACAAATGCCCCATAAGGTTTCCAAGGCTGTAAATCTGGAAGCAGACTGCCTCAACGGTCTCCCGCGGACCGGCTGATGGAATCGAACTGTGGACCTTTGGGTTAGTAGCCGAATGCTGTTTAACCACTACACCATCAGAGCTCCTTGTTTTGAGGAAAGAGGCCAGAATTTGGAGTCAGAACACCTGGATTGGACGCTTTCACTTGGTATTCTTGTTATGTTGTAGTTTCTTTCTCTGTTAAAAGGGAATGGTATTTCCTGAAGGAGTCCTGGTGGTGGCAGTGGTTAAAACGCTCGGCTGCCATCCGACAGGTAGGTGGTTGGAAACCATCAGCTGCTCTCCTTCCATAAAGATTTAGAGCCCTGGAAACCCTGTGGGGCGGGTCTGCTCCACCCTGCAGAGTTCTTATGACTCAGAGGCCACCCAGGGCGGCAGCTTCTTTTTTTTTTTTTTTAAATTACCTGCCTTCTGGGAATTCGATAGTGAAAATATGCAGTATGGTTCCAGGTTCTGGGCAGTCCTCGCCATCTGTGTGCCAGGTACCCTTGAGATCCAGCATTTTTATGTTTTCCAAAACAATAGACTGGGAGTGTTTCTAAGAAAAATGTGCAGTTCGTCAGTGGAACAGTGTTGCAAGACATGCTGTAGTCACTGACAAAATGTATCTGCTGTACATTGTTCAGCTATGCACCAGTGGGTGTCGCCTTCCCACCTACTGACTGCACCTCCTTATTTGAGGAGTGTTGATCTTGTGGGAAAGGTTAAGGTTTGAGAGACATTGATAGTGAAACTGCACAGTTTCCCTGTGTGTAAAGTACTGTTCCTGTACAGCTACTCTCCTGTTTTTTCTTTATCCACCATTACACAACTAGGAAATAGTGATGCATGGGCTGGCTTAGTTTGTTCTTTTCTTTTCCCTTTGGTCTACTGAAAATTCAGTATTTGTAAGTCTTCTAAGTAAGGAAGTAAGCCTTATAATATTAAGAATCAAAGCTCCTTTCAACAGAAAGGAGCCCTGTTGGCACAGTGGTTAAGGACTCAGCTGCTAACCAAAAGGTTGGTGGTTCCAACCCACCTGCTGCTCTGTGGGGGAAAGACCTGGCAGTCTGCTTCTGTAAAGAAGAGCCTTGGAAATTCTATGGGGCAGTTCTACCCAGCTTCATGGCTGTGGATTTTTATGGTATTAATAGGCAAGCGTGTATCATTACTAGAGCATCCTTAGTAATGAATGGATGGATTGTGTTGACTAATCTGATCTTTTTTAAAGACCTCATCTGATTCAGAGTAATTGCATATCAACAGAGAGGTTTCTTTAAACGGGAGATTCCATAGAGGCTCACTGGCATTTCAGAGTCTTGTTTCTTGCTAATATGAAGGGAGAGGCTACATGTAGCACAGTAACCACTTTAACCTTTCAGGTCCTTCACCCATAAACTCATTAGTCATCCTTTGATGCTATACAGTGACAGCATGGCTGATGATGATTGCTTGGTCTATTCAGTTTAAAAACATGTCATGTGGTACATGGTGACATGATGGAGTGAAGGCAAAACGGCAATGTACTTATCCTTATGGAAGGGGGATAATAGGTTGTAGCAGCCTTGCCTACAGATTAAGAAAATCATCTTTCCCTGTGAAGAATAACTAGTAATCTGCCCTGTTTCCCGAATATCTAATAGTTTCATGCTAAAGAATCCTTAACCTGAAGTGTTTTGTGTTTTTTTTTCTTATAGTAACATTTAACAAAACCAAACCTACTGCCATCAAGTTGATTCCAACTCATAGCCCCCATTAGGTTTCCAAGGCAGTACATTTTTTACAGAAGTGGATTGCCCGATCTTCCTTCCTTGGAGTGGCTGGTGGGTTTGAACCGCCAACCTTTTGGTTAGTGGTCAAATGCCTTAGGCACGCGCCACGAGAGTAACACTTGGGTTTTAATTTGATCTCTCATTCACTGTCATGCTCCCAGTACCCAGAACAGTACCTGGACATACTAAATGCTCAATATATATTTGGTGAATGAATTAATTAATAACTAGTTTGGAGATGTATTTCTGACTTGGTATCTTTGTATGAGCTTTGTTTGATGAACTGTTACCAGGTATCAGTGGATTGGATTATCCTGTATTTACAGTTTATTGAATAAACTTAAGTTTTTCATTTGTTTACACTGACAATTTAGTAAGGGAAAAAGAATGTACAATTACAAGTTCAAGATGGTGTTTTTATTTGCATGGCTCTTTAATGGAAATAATTTTGTAAAATTGTGACTTTTAAAAATTTAGGTCATTTCTTAGTATGTTTATGTATATATCCTTTTCATTAAGAAATAAAATCCAAGGTGAGGAATGGTTGGCTTCAAGCCTGATGAAAAATGTTTCTTGACTAGTTGCCTACAGCTGATGAGCTCCAGTAAGAGCGAAACCAGTTCTCACCCCATTGAGACCGTTTTGAGGTGCGAATTGGTCCTGTAGTACTGTGTCAGAAACAGAAACAACTTGGGGGGAAAAAAAAAGAAAGTGCTTGAATTAGGAGGAATTTTGTGTTTGTATATATATATATATATTTATATATGTATATGTATATGTGTATGTGAATTTGATTTATACAAGCACTTCTTAAAAAACAATCTTGTAAACATGGCTAATTCCATATCCTTCCCCTTTAGGCTACTACTAGGGTATTCCATCCTCAGTAGCTTTGATGATCCCCTCACCCCAAGAGAGAAAAACTGGACAGCATCCAGATTGGTTGGCATGCATCGATATTGCCAACTGGAGGCCCACAGGAGGACTCAGCTGACTGTTTTTTCTGCTCGTTAATTGTGGACACAGTCAAGGTCACAGTGGTTCTGTCTGCTACCACTTGTGTAGTTATTTCATTTTGGTGATGGCCTTGTTGCATGTATACCCATACAGCTTCATCAGCCTCTCTCCTTTTCTTTTTGTGTCCAACCAATATTCGTTTGACCGTCAGAAAACAAAGTTTGCAAGCTAGGTGGTTATCAGATGCCAGTTTATATGATAACTTTTTCAAGTCATAGGCTTGTTACTGAGAAACGGAATAGGAAGTACTTGTCTTTTGAGATTAAACTAAATTTTGCTTAATTTACAGGAGCATAATATGTAAAGCAGAGTTAGATTCTAAGCATAGGTAATTAGGAATATAGTATGCTGTTTGTTGTTGTTTTACCTAGACAAGTCCCTAGCAGCATGTGGCACATGTTTTTATTGTCCTGCACATTACAGGTCTCACCACCTGCTTCCCACCCACTTTTGCTGTCCGGTTCCCCAGAGCATTGTGTCAACCCAGAGGATCTCACCACATTGACAACCTCTGGGTGCATTTGCAAAAATTAGTGTAAATGCAGTAGAGAACATATTTGTTAGGTTACTTTATTATTACCATTATTTTGCTTGAGATTTAAGATATTTGAATTATTTCAGATTAAGGCTCCTTGCCATCTTGCAAGTATAGAGATCATTTCAAAAGCTAGAGAGTAAACTGTTAAGAATGTCATGAGGAAGGCTGTGACTGTGTGCTCGATGGTTATAGATACAGTATGTAGTTTATGTGAGAAATTAGTTTCCTACTTTCGTGGAAGGAAGATTTGGAGGAAGATGTGGCATTAAATTGGTTCTTTAGAAGTAATTCAGCTGTCAGTAGAGAAGGGAAAAGCCTTCTGGATGGGGACAAAGCCATGGAAGTGTTAATACACAAGTTGGAGGACTGAGTAGCCTGGTCCAGACTGGTAGGATACAGTGAAGCCTAGGATTTTAGGACTGCATGGAGAGATAAGATTGGAAAAGTAGTCCAACTGGTTTACTGAGGAATCTCAAGGAGGAGGCAGATAAATGTCTGTGTAGATAGATAAATACCTGTAACTCAGAAGCCCAGGACTGAAAATATTTGGTGGGCATCAACTATGAGCTGTTGGTTGAAGTTATCAAAGTGGATGAATTTGATGAGGGAAGGTAAAGACTTGAGAACTGAAATCTGGGGAACAGGAAAGCTGGGTGAGATGATAGTAACCGATTTGCTTAGTGGTTCTCCATTGACAAAGTATGGCACACCAATTTGTTGTTGTTAGGTGCCGTGGAGTTGGCTCCAACTCGTAGTGACCCTATGTCCAATAGAACAAAACACTGCCCGGTCATGCACCATCCTCACAATCGTAGCTGTGCACAGTCGTAGTTGTGGCA